GCTGGTGACCTACTGGTGAAGAAAAGCATCCTTGTCTCAGACACTCAGCTCAGAGTCCAGCCTCCTCAGAGCTTCAGGATGGAGGGTGGGGGCACCAGTCCCAGGCCCTTCCATTCCCCTCTGGATCCCTGCAATGGATCCCAGCCACAGTCGGACCTGTCTTCACAGTTCACACTAAAGTGTAAACCCTGCTCAGGAACACTGGCATTTTCTGAGAGTGTGTCAGGAATGCTTTCTGAGGTCCCACCTCGACCAACTGCCTCAGACCCCAGGGATTCATGTGCACACTGGTACAGAACGTTCCAAATAGAGCCAGCCCCTCCTCCTGCCAGCCCTCCCAGGATGGCTAAGACACATTTGGATAATAACCAGCAAACACACAGTGCTTACCACAGTGCTTATATTATCTCATTTAATCCTCACGCGCTCTTGTAAGGTAGATACCATCATTATCCCCGTATTACAGATAGGAACATGAGGCACACTGAGTGGTTAAGTAACTTGCCCAAGCTTCTCACAGCTAGTAGTAGCAGAGTCAGGATTTGAACCCAATGCTTTGAACCAATACACTACTCAGTCAGCAGCGGTGTCTCCATGTCTGAGTAGGGGTCAGTGTGGTGGGAGAGGAAATAAAGAAAAGTAAAAAGCCCAAGGAGCTAGTGGCCTTCCTCATGAGAATCTAGGAAATACCAGATTTTACTTGTTGATTGCTTTAGAATTTACAACTCCATCCGTAAAGGAACTGAGACAATAGCTATATATACCACAGGTCCTACTAGAGGCGGGACAGAAAAAACAGTAGCAGAAACCTGGACTCAGATGGCTACTGAGTTTCCTAGCAGTGGAAGTAAAAAGGAGTGAAGAATGGGGCTGCAGGTGGGAGACCATGAGGATTCCAGAGCTGGGCCAAAGTCACAGGGATGGATACGAGGGGACCAGTGAAAAGATGTTTGGGAGGAAAGTTCAATGGGACTTGACAACTCCATGAAGGAAAAGAGGAAGAAGGAGAAATGGAGGGAGAAACCCCTCCCTCCTGCCACGGTGGTTGGAGGATAGAGAGCACCCAGATAAGGACTGGGCGCAGTGCCTCACAGTAGGTGCCTGGTAAATGTGTACCACCTGCCCCTCTCTTTATTCATGCCAACACCTGCTTGGACATGAGCCACCCTCATCCTCACCCTGCCTCACACAGCCTGGGAGCTCGGGACTCTTCTGGCTTCCACTCTTCCACCAACCTCTTGGGGGTTCCTGCTTACCACAGCAGCCCCTGAAGCTACAGTTCCTTCCTTCAATCATCAGCTCAAGGGCTAGGTGGGGGGTGATCATGGGGAAATAATCATAGAGAGCATTGTGAATCCACAGGTCTGTTACCCAGGGCTCAGGGCAGGGCTGGCAGTGCAAATGCTATAGGGCAAAGGGTGACATCTAGGAAGTCCCACCCTCCACCCAATCTCTTAAACTCTCCACCAATCCTGGCTTCTTCTGGAGGACAAGCACTCCCCCAACCCCACCCCATGCCGCCAATTCATTTAGCTCTGAGGTCAATTTCTCACATGTAAGCTGAGGCTGGGAGGGGAAGAGGGGAAAGGAGAGATTACAATCATGGTGCCTTATGCTATGTTTCCACATCTCTTCATCTGATCATTCATTTTGCATTCACCCTTCGTTCATTCGACTATTGCTTACAGACTGGCCCAAGGACCAGGCATTCCACAACAGTGCTGATGTCCTCGGTGGTAGGAAAGAGAAGTCAGGGAATTTTAGTCCTGTGTGCCAGTTTGCCAGATGAGTAAAGTGAGGCGAGATGGTGACTTGTCCGAAGTCACACAGCTGAAACTGGGATTGGCCATCAGCTCTCCACTCCCCAGTCCGTGCTGAGTTCTAACACGGCTGTGCATTTATGGTGCTGCTTGTGCTAATACCTTAGGTGTTCGGAGAGTCTCTCAGAATGAGGTTTGCTTTTGAGGTTTCCTCAGCCCCATTTCTTTTCGTCTCCCTTCTTTCTCTCCATATTCCCTCCAGAAACCAAGTGATCCCACAATTCCCTTATCCTGAGGGGACCAAGGACAATCTGGATCCTAACCTTTCCCACTCCTGCGCCACCCTCCCCTGAGAACCATGAGCTGCTCTGAGCACCTACACTGCCCAGATGAGGAGGGGCCTCTGGGTTCACTGCCATCCATCCCAGGGAACGTGTGGCCATTTTACCAGGAAACTTCTCTCACCCCAGAGGAGCGACAATGGCTGTGGCTGGCTGTGGAGGGACCTTTCCTGGGGCTTCTCAAATAATTCTGCAGAAGTGACCTCTAGTAAACCTTCCCTGGTAGTTTATAAGCTTGAAAGTGTTGGACTGCTAAAGCTGGGGCCAGAATCCTTGAACATTTAAACTGGAATCAGGGAATGCTAGAGCTGGAGTATAGAAAGTTAGAGTTTGGGTTACAGATTTTTAGAATGTTTGAATTGAGATTATAGACTCTTAGGAGAAGGGATGTAGAAAAATAAACAATTATAGTTGGAATTGTGGATTTAAGGAAATCGGGACCAGAAGTGACGTCAACATCACTCTGTCCCACCTCCCTGATAGCTGAGAAGAGAGAGCTGGCCTTGTCACCCTGCCACTTGGGGCTAGGCCAGGCCTCCTGCTGCCCAGCAGGGCTCTGTCCTCCAGATCTCCTGGAGCAGCTCTCAGGGCCTCTGGGCCAAAGCACTCCTTGCCTGGGGACAGTGGGCACAGGGGTCTGCCTCTGCCCTGGACTGAGCCTCGCCACCAGCTCATCATAGCACCCTGCCACCACAGTGGATATATTTAGGTTCCCTCCCTAAATATGTTCCCACAGCTCTCGACACTGCCTTTTATGTCTCCTCATCCTCCGAGGCTTCTGGGCACCTTCTCTAAACTGACTCGATGAAGTCATCAGGAACAAGGGCTCTTGCTCCGCCAACGCAAATGTTTTCCCCCCAAAACGAAGTTCATTCTGAGGGGTCTCCTGGTCCACTTCAGCCTGGCTCAGACCCATCTGTCCTAATTCTGACCTCACAGCCTCCCTCCGGCTCCCAGAGCCTGCCTTGGTTGGGGGACCAAACATCCCTGATCCTGCTCCTCTTGGCGTTCCTGATTTCAGGCAGAAGGCACCCCGGCCCCTGCCCCTGCCAGTCCCCAAACACACACACACACACACACACACACTCTCTCTCTCTCAAGGGCACAGACCAGCATTTTTATGTTCCTCTGGTGTTTGTCAGGAGAGAGAGGCTTCCACCCAAGCCCCACGGCTGCCCCTGCATTTCTCGCCCAGCCTCTCTCCCACACTCCATCCAGGCCTTGTCAGAGACTTGGCATCTTCCCATTTTAGACTGCATCTTCCCAGAAGTCAGATAGTCATTGACAGTTCAACAGTGATAAGGCCTGGGATAGGAATGGCTCCCCCAGACTACTTAAATGGAGGGCTCTCAGATTTCTACCTGCCTAGCTCATGGGAAATCATTGGTTCTGTGGGAACCGAGTGTTCCTGAGTGGTCAAGGACACACTCCTATGAGGGGCTCCATCATTATCATCATGGTTTTATTGCCAGGACCATAGTTTTACAGCAGCCATAAAGAGTTTTTATGTGCTAGAGACTATGCCAAGCACTTTATATCCAGGACCTCAGTCCTTATAATAAGCCCTACAAGGCAAACACTAATTAACGTCTCCATTTTATAAAGGAAGAAACTCATGCGCAGAGAGATTTTGCCCAAAGTCCTCCATGTAGAGAGCTGAGATTTAAACTAAGCCTGGATACCACAACCACCTTGACAGTCCCAGGTGGTCATCTGCTATGGGAACCTCCCCTTCCCTGTGGTCCCCTGGGATCTGGCAGCCTCTTCCTGCCTGGCCAGTGGAGCAAAGGTGAGAACCTCATAGATGGCCAGGGCTCCTTCCCAGAAGCCAGTTCCCCTGTTCCTGCACTGTAAATGACTCAGACTGACCCCACCACAGTCCCCATGCAAGACACACTCCCATAGCACTGTGACCCCTTCCTTCATGCACAGCACACATGGCCTTACACAGCTCCAGCTTCCCACCACACACTGTGCTGCATACACGCACACACAGTAAAACCACATACCAGTGACACTGCCACACTCCCTCATCAGGTCTAGGTCCTGTCATCCCAACTGGGAGGACAGACAGAAGAACTCTACTCTACAGGTGGCACAGGCTCCCACTGCAGGATGAACCCAGCTCATTACCAAGCCTTGACTCAACTACTGGATGGTAACTTACCAGAACAATATTTTTATATTAAAACAAATGCAGGAATATTACAGAGAGTAATGCAAAACCCACATGAATTTTGAAGAATAAAATATGAGACTTCAAAAAAGCTGTGTGTGTGCGCATGTGAGCGAGCAAGCATGGGACTATTTGCATTTCCTCTACCCAGATCTGGGGTGAGTTTTCACTCTACCAAGCTCTTAGGGGTGCTGGATGGAAAAGTCAGAGCCATCCTGGGGTCGTGGAAGATGTTCTGTCAGTGGTAACAGCTGCACAAGTGCTTCTCCCCTCCATTACCTGGCTCAGCACACTGCTCAGGGTCATGGATGTGCCACATAGAGAACACACATCTCACACCTTGCGCAACACACATGTACACACCAACGTGCCAGGGCTCCCGACAGGCAGCGTGCTCACACCATGAGCACACACATGGAACCCCTGGGTTACCTGGGCATAGTCACCCAGTGCTATAGATAGTACCACACACACTTTTTGCATGGTGACACACACCACAATCCATTGGTTACACTGGGCACACCACGGACACACCACACACTAACTGCATACAACCCGGTGCACACACGTTGCCCACATTAACCTCTTACACACTGTCCACATCACACAACACAGACTCACCCCCGGGGGCAGCAACGCAAGCCTGGAGTGGGCAGATGTACCTCGTACCGCCATGTCCCTCACCTACTGACCCTCATTCCCCTTGCCCCACCTAGCGCTTACCTGGGTCGTCTGGCAATGAGCCTGGGACGTCACTTGCTCCGGTGCTGGGAGGCGAACCTACAAACTGAGGGGCAACATAGGCGGCTGCTGCAGCTTTGGCTACAAGCATCCCCCACGTCCAGCGCAGCGCGCTGTGAGAGCAAAGGGGCGGGGAGGGGGTGTGGCCGGGAGGGGGTGTGGCCGGGAGGCCTCCTCAACCCACGTGAGAGTTTGGCGCAGGCAGGACTCGGCTGGACTGCCCGCCCCTGGAAAAACAGGCGTCAGGACAGCGCTCTGGGCTGGGACCTGTGACCCCCTGGACTCCAGCCCAGGGTCCCTGGCGATTCCTACCCTTCCCTGTCCTCGGTTTCCCTGTTTGTATTGAGGTTGGTGGCTTAAGTGGCGGTTCCTCAGGTCTTTTCCCGGCTCTGACATTCTACAGTTCTAGGATGGTGGTAGAGAGGGAGGGTTAATAATACTGTTATTTCTTGAACACCTACTATGTGCCAGGCACTGTGCTTGGTGTTTTAAAACATTGAATCGCTAAAGCAATTCCAGAGGTGTTCTTAATCCCATTTTACAGGCGGGGAAACGGAGATATAGAGAGATTAAAGTGACTTGTCCATGGTCATACAGCTAGTAAATGGCAGACTGAGATCTGAACGCGGGCAGTTTGACTCCAGTGTCCAAGTACCCCTACAGCATGTGGTGGTGGCACTTTCCATACCATACACTACTCCCTGATCCTCATAACAATCCCAGGAGCTTGGTGTTACAAATCCATTTTACAGATTAAGAAACTGGGGTTCAGGGAGATTATTTTACCCCAGGTCACCTAGTTAGTGGGACAGCTAAAGATGGGGGTGGGGTGGGAGTGATGCTGAAGATGGTATGGTGAGTATCAGGATAGTGTGATGGGACAGTACCTGGCACATAGCTGGCATTGATGTCAACATTCTTCCTGTCGCTCTCCTTCCCTCTCTTCTTTTGTCTCTTAATATCTCCTATGGAGAGCAGCCTCCAATTCCCTCATCCCTGAAACCTTCCCTGACCTGTAGCCCTCAGACAAGCTGGCCTTTCCTTTTGGCTACCATCGCAGCTTTTATTCAACTGTTATTGAGTTACGGCTATGTGCCAGGTTCTGTGCTAGGCACTGAGGATGCATGTGAACAAGAAGTCCAGATAGCACTGGTCTCATGGAATTTATAATCTGGTGGGGAACACAGCTGTTAAACAAATAGTCAAAAATAATTATACATAATTACACATTGCAGTAAGTGCTAAGAAGGAAAAGTGGAGGACTAAATAAATATCTGTCAATAAGAAAATGGAAAAATACATTTTTATTCAGGTATCCCTTGCTATTTGACCTCTTACTCTCCCAGTATTTGTTCTAATGATTTGCAAAAATTCTACTAGTAGAAAACTCGACATGAAGAATCTGTAGGTGCGTAACAGCATGAATCTGGGTACAAGGTACAAGGATGTGGACTGAGCTGCAGTCGTAACTCATCTCTTCTCTGGATAGGATAGGATCATGCCTCATGCTTATGTCATTTAAACTTATTTGGTACATAATTGTTACTATCTTCCCCTGATTATTAAGCAAAAATGTCTTCTAAGAAAGTGGGAAAGCCTGAGAAGAAAATAGATGAGCACGAAAGGCTCAGAAAAGCCCTTACATTAGAAGAAAATGCGGAAGTAATAAAGCTCATTGAAAGGGCTGGTTTTGTGAAAAAAATGTAAGCTTGGCCAGGCACACATCCTCCTCTATCACATCACATACAAGAACTGCTCTATGTGTGAAAGAACAGAAAAAGCTCATGCAGTGTTAAATAATGAAGTAATCTGTGTTTTAAATACGTTAGAACTTTCTGCAGCGATGGAAATATTCTATATCTGCTGTCCAATACAATAGCCTCTAGACCCGTGTGGCTACTGAGCATTTGAAATGTGTCTAGTGCAACTGAGGACCTGAATTTTTAACTTTTAATTAATATACATTTAAACTTAAATAGCCTCATGTGGCTAGTAGATACCATATTGGACTACATAGCTTTACATTGTGCAGAAATCCTTGGTTATTATTAATAGTTTTAAAGATTTTAATGATATTTGTGGGAAATAAGTTGAAGTTTTCGGATGAGTGGGGAACATATTATTTTCCCCAACTAAAATTCTATAATATGAGCTTTTATTATCCACACATTTGCTACTAGGAATGGTCTATGTTCTGATATAAGGGTTGGCTGTACATTTATATAGTGGAATACTATGCAACAGAGAAAAATGAATAAACCAGAGCAACACACAGCAACAAAACTAAATCTCACAAGCATAATTTGACTGGAAAAAGTATACAGAAGGATACATACAGTATAATACTATGAAAAAAAATTTTAAAACATTCACAATAATACTAAACTCATGTAGAAAGCATATGAGGACATGAATGGGAATGACAAACAATGCAGAGGTCACCTCTGAGGGGAGGGAGGAGATGAGATTGCAGGGGACACACTGATAGCCCTTGTTTCTCTTTTGACTTCCCAACTCCCCTGCACGCTCTGCAAAGACAGAGGGTGAGCAGGGCTAGCACAGATAGGAAGCACCTTTTCACAGAAGCCTTCTCTGTCTCCTTCCCCAGCTGACAGAACCCAGGGCCTCCTCTGGGCTCCCATGGCCCCAGTGTTGGCCTCTGACACCTCATCACTCCAGCTCGATGTTGTCTCTCTTTACATCTCTTCCTCAACAGCAGAGATGTTCTTACAGGGCAGGCACTGTGTCTACTGTTCACCAGCCCTATTTTCCCCACACTTGGCACAGCACTCTAAATATCTAACTAAATGAAGGCATGAATATAGGTTTCTTTGGGGATTTAGAATTATTATTATCATTCATTTATTCTTTGATCCTTGCTATGTGCCCAGGCATGGTTGGGCCACTAGAGATTCAAAGATGAAATGTCCATGGCTAGTGCCCTTAAGAAGTATCTGGTGTGGAGAGAGGATAAACCAGGATGGGCTTTGGGATACAGAGACATGCACTGAGGCATAGGAGCCCAGAGGGGTCCTGACCTAGAGGGATCCTGGCTCAGCCTGGGGGCAAGGGGCACAGAGAAGGTCAGAGTGCAAGTGTGTCTTAAGCTAAGTATTCAAGATCTAGAGTTCTGAGTAGAATTGGGGGATGGTGTTCCTGGGAGGGCGGCAGCATGCAAAGACCTGGAAGTGAGAGGGAACATGGTAGATTCTGGAAAACTAGTGAAGCTCAAGCCTACTGGAGAGTCCAGTGAAGAAAACAGTGGGACATGACAAGGCTGAAGAGGGGCAGGAACCAGGTTTTGCAGAGCCTTGAATAACAGGTTGGGAAGCTTGATTTATCCTAAAGGTGACGGGAGCTATGGAAGGGGTTAGACAGGGAAGGGACATAATCAGAGTTGTGTCTTAGATCACTTGTCATGGCTGCTGTCTGGAGGGCCAGAAGAGGAGGCAGGGACCAGTAATGAGGCTGGGTCAGTAGTCAGGCAAGTGGTGGCCAAGGCGTTGGGGATGAAGGAGGGGGATAAATGAGGAACTGACTAGAAGGTGGGTTGCGGGGCTTTTTAGAAAGTAGACTCAATAGGACTTAGGCAGATTGGATGTGAATGTGAGGGAGACAGAGAGGTATCTTGGTTTGGGTTCCCCTAGAAGCTGACCCTGAAAGAAGGATTCAGGTGCAAGTAGTTAATTTCTGAGATGATCCTAGGAAGCATCAGTAGGGGGCTGGGGAAGTGAGACAAGAAAAAGGGTGGTCAATAGAGTATTACTAGGGGTCATCCCCATTGGGAACTTCTAAGAGATAGCACAAAGCATTTATCTATCATTCCAGCCATCACTGGTTAAAGACTTGTTCCCAAACCTCTGGCACTTCCGGTCAAATGTGCTCCAAACATCTGAGAAAGCCCCTTGGCAGAGTCCCAGAACTCTCACTGAGAAACTATAGGGGCGTAAGGAATAGTGAGTGCTGATGGTAATGTTCAGGAACCTGCTCCAGCAGCAGCTAGAGGGGGAAAGGAACTTCAGTTACTTCTAATAGGCTGAGCCCAGGTTCCCCAAGATGGGTGGAGGAGGGGAATATGTGTTAGAGTTGGGCGAGTGGGGGTTTGGCTGTGGCCCTGACTGCCAGTGTTTTCCCCTCAGCCCTCAGCCTTTCTTGCCTGGTCAATCCACTGTCCCCAGGCCCTCTGGGGTATGCAGAGCCTCACCTGCGCTTCAGCCCCTAGAAATGCCTTTTCTGATTAGCATAGCCCAGTGGTTTGATCCCTGTGCCCATAGCAAGGCAGAGAAACTTGGCAGCTCTTTAATAAAAAAATCAGATCTCATCACCCAGAGTTGGCAGTGGGTTGGAGATACAGATTTGGAACTTACTAGCTTAATGTTTAGTTCTCTAGGTCAGTGGTCCCCAACTTTTTGGCACCCAGGGACCGGTGCTCCTATGAGAATCTAATGCCTGATGATCTGAGGTGGAGCTGAGGTGGTGATGCTAGCACTGGGGAGTGGCTGCAAATACGGATGAAGCTTCCCTAGCTCACCCGCCACTCACCTCCTGCTGTGCAGCCCAGTTCTTAACAGGCCATGGACTGGTATTGGTCCATGGCCTGGGTGTTGGGGATCCCTGGTCTAGGTTTCCGGGTGGGTGAGGTTGCTTTAGGGGAGAAGAAAAAGAAAGAAAAGGGTTTAGGCTGGACCCATCAGTTAAGGGAGGAAAGAAGAGATGACTGGGGATGGGACTGAGGAGGAGCAGCCAGAGCAGTAAGATGTGCAGCAGACCAGTGTCACTGAGGCCAAGGGAAGATGGGCTTGGGAGGGCGAGGGAGAGGAATGCAGGCTCAAAGCTGGCCCCAGGAGAGTTTAATGGAACCCTCCATTAAACCATGTCTGGCAGCAAACTTGCTTCCTCCTCTTCCTCTTCCTTCTCCTCCCTGTCCCAGCCTCGACCTATGGCCTCAGAAACCTCAGCAGCTGGCAGGTGTCCAGTGAGAGCAATAGCTGGACGAGCTATGTCTGGAATTTCTAATGACTCCTGAGATTTCCCTTGCTCCTGTCAGCCTCCAGCCTCGATGTGCCTGCTGCCTCCTCTTGAGGTTATGCTGCTCTTTCAGCCCCAGCCATGACCCCAGGACTCTCCAACCCCTTTCCTGAGGCCCAGGAGTTTCATGTTGTTCCTGTCTGCTCTGTCAGTCCAGCAGCCATGGCTGGCTCATGTCCTAAATAGGGGCACTGCTTCCAGGAGTTTTCCCTTTCACATTCCCACCACATTCCAGCTGCTCAACCAAGTGTTAATTCACAAATTCATGATCCAGGAATTTCTGCCCTGGCATCTCTTCCTCAGGGCTTGAATTCCTCGCCTGCCTCCATGTACATTGATGGGAAATGTGGGTAAGTCATTGCCCATTTCTGGATCTCTGTTTCCTTAACTACAAAACTGGATTGGCCATCCTCGCCCGGCCTCCTTCCCATGGCTGGCTCTGAGGGTTCAGACCTTGTAAATTCTACTATTTACACATGTTTCTTTCCATATCTTCTTAATGAGTCCTGTTTATCCTTGCAAGCTCTGCTAATAAAACAGGCTACCATTTATTTCAGGTGTGCTATGAGCCAGCATTATGCTAAGTATTTTGCATGCATTATCCTGCTTCATTTGCACATGGAGTCTGAGTAAATACTCTGATTATTGCCATTTTACAAATGAGGAAAGGGAGGCTCAGGTAGACTACATGACTTGCTTTAGTTTACATATCCAGGAAATGTCAGCCAGAACTAGAACTCAGGACTGCTGAGGCAAGATTTAGGTCTTTCTCTTTTCAGCTCAGCTCCTTCCTATCAGACCATGCCCACTGGAGCTGCTCCTGATTTAGAAGTTAACGTGCATTAGTAGGAGCATAGTGCCTGTGGGAAAGCAGAGACCTCCACAGAGGTCTGCTGCTTAAACTACCTCTGGAGACTCATTGTCCTCGGCCTGCTGCAGGGGGATTGAGGGGTAACAAAATCAAGTGAAGCAAGAAGCCAAATAACAGGAGAGTTGAATCTCAAGATCAGGGGGCATATCTTTCACTTGGTACCAACAGATTCCTGTCCTTTTTAAATCAGACTTGTTGACTCCGAGGTACAGCCTGACATTATTGTTTTTTAAATTGTTAAACTTCGTAATGAATAGAGAGCTGATATTTTCATTCATTTCAGCTCTTTAAGAAATCAACAAGTCAATATCCAAAGATTGGAACTGACCTAAATGTCTATTTATAAGGAACTGGTTAAATAAACTATGGCTGTAAACAGAACAAGTAAACTTTTTATGTACTGGTGTGGAAAGGCCTTCAGAAAATCTGCAGAAAAAAGCTAGAAGTATGTGTATAAGTGTGCAGGCTTTTGTGTAAAAGGAAGAAAAAACAACACACAGCTCTTAGAGCTTGTATATGCATACAGTTATCTGAAAAGTTAAAGAAACCATGAATGGTGGTTACTTAATAGAATCAATGAAATTTTTTCAATATTTTTTTTGTTTGAAGCAAGCGAATGTATTATTTACTTGAAAATTAAATAGAAAATAAATACATCACCAATTCAATGAGATTTTTTTCAATTACAGTTGACATACAATAATATATTAGTTTCAGTTGTACAGCATAGTGATTAGAGCTCAAGTGATCACCCCACTAAATCTAGTACCCCTCTTCCCCCTTACATGTTTTTTACAACATTGTTGACTTTTTTCCTTATGCTACATTTTATATCTTCATGACTATTTTATAACTATCCATTTGTATTTCTTAATCCTTTCTCCCTTTTTCACCATCCTCCCAAACCCCCTCCTGTCTAGTAGCCCTCAAAATATTCTCTGTATCTATGAGTTTGTTTCCATTTTTGTTGTTACTGTTGTTTATTTTGTTCTTTAGACTCTGCACGTGTGTGAAATCATTTATATATTTGTCTTTATCTGACTTACTTCACCTGGCGCAATACCCTTTAGGTCCATTAAGGCAATATCTTTTTGTATCCCCTTCTTTTTAGTCTCTGTTTGTCTTTTAATCTGAAGTGAGTCTCTTGTAGGCAGCATATGTAGGGGTCTTCTTTTCTTATCTATTCAGCCACTCTATTGTTTGGTTGGAGCACTTAATTCTTTTCTATTTGAGATACTTGTTGATAGGAATGCAGTTATTACCATTCTTTATTCATGTTTTTGACACATGTTTTTTCTTTTTAAAGAAGTCTCTCCAACATTTCCTGTAATACTGGCTTGGTGCTGATAAATTCCTTTAGCTTTT